GGGGGGGGGGAGCTTCGCTCATTGGCGGAAGAAAATGAACGATCGTGCTGAGTGCAGTAAAAAGAGGAACACGGAACTAATCTAACCGATTCGATTCTCCACTTTATTATCTGCACTCAGTTATCTTCCCGATGGTTGTGTGTATGTATACCTTGAAGAACCGGTCGGACGAAACAGCGATGATGTTAAGCAGAAGCAAGTTTTGTCTGCAACATATATATAAGTAGTAATATAAGTAGTATGTGAACAACTGGACAAAGTTTTCCTGGAAGCACAAGACCGGTCTCGCGGTTCTTACCGCTCGTCAGGTATGCGTACCCGGTAACCTCTTGCCGATTCATTCGTATACTTGTACCCAGGAAGTGTATTTTCGACACAATAACCTTGTTTGCATCACCGGGTGACGTTTAGATAGACAGCTCTTTCAGAGCCAGTCCAGTGAAGAATCAATGCTATGATTCAATGTTTTTGTAAGTGGGTTAGATGTTACTAACCGCAACAAACGTGACTTGATAGTTTTTATAGAATATTTCATAATAAGTAGTATATGAATATATATTCTTCACCATAATCTCATTTGCAGCACCGGTAAATTTGTTTGAACAGCGCATTCAGAACCAGTCCATTTATGAATTAATACTATGATTCCGAATACAGGATACGCATGCCTGACGAGCGGCAAGAACCTCCAAAATTCGGTCATGTGTACGTGGGGAAATTTTATCGAGTCAGTCGTATACTACTTATTGTGATACATATGACTATTTTACGATTTTTTGTCCACGAAACCATGTAGAACATATGATGCGTGCGAGATAACAACTGCCGAAAAAAAGAGAAACTGTTTATCAGGATTTCGTCATGGACACAGACCTGAATACTCTTATTTTCTGTTCCTCGATGGTTTTAATAAATAATCAATACCACTTTAAAGTGAACACTGAAATGCGTAGCCGCTCTCCAGGGGAGTATGTGTTAAAATTTGCCACTGACCAACCACGGAAGCCCGGTTTCTCTCGACAATACTTCAGTCCATCGACGACCGGATGAAACAAATTGACAGCAGCGGGGCATGCTGTTCAATATTTGCAAGCCTAAGACTATTTTTCAATCCGATGCCAGAAACCAGTTAGTGATTTTGGGGTCAGATAGACAAGCAAGAAGTCAGAAACGAGTCTTACTCAATTCTCGTGCGACGGTTGACAGACTCAATCAGACTTTTATTGAATCTTACGGAAATTGATCAGCCTTGTGAACCGGTATTTTTCAATACTCAAGTAATAATCTCTTCATTAAAGTAGGAAAATTTCTTCTTTTGTTCCTTCTGATCTGAGTATGAAGTCGTCACGTGATTCTTATGATTAGGCTGTCAAATCACGTAACTGGGCGATCAAACGATAGGTTTTGGAATCACATAGGTCACGGGTGCGTCCACATGCCCCCTCGGGGCCGTGGACGCTGGATTACAGCCAGTGGCTACTAAACGATCCTCAGATGCTACGAAATGATTGATATTGTGTATGAAACGATGAGCAATAGCTGACCAATCATGCTTGCTTTTTCTCTACCGCTGTTCATTCTATCAATGCGTCATCAAATTACTAAATAACTCGCAATAATCTCCCTTACTTTTCAATCGAGTTTAAAAATGTTGGCATTTACTTCAGGAATATGTAGTCGTAATTTCTCGGTACGCCAGTCGAGGGATCTGGGCGATCGGTTCATCGACTCTTATCTGTTTATCTATTGGGCGTAAACTTTTCCACTCATCTATCTTGTCTCTGATTTGGTAGACTCTAATGTCCTTTGGGTCATGCTCACTCCTTTTGTTCTTAATTGATTGATTGATTCAAATCTTGCACATAACTCCAAAATACTGAGGCTTGAAACAGTGGCCACATACGCACCGTAGGCAAACCGCTCTGCAGGTAGTCTAAAATCCTTAGAGAGATTTTGTACCACAGCAACTCTTTAATAAACAGTCAGTATATACTGTGAAATTTAACTGTTGCGAATACAATCTATTCAGCGATTAAGGATGCATACATAGATCCCCGAGTTGTTATATCTACATCTATGAGATGGCGGATGAGCTCCTAGGGTACCACTAGTAAGAGTGCGCTAGCACACTGTCGCCTTGCCTCGCCTCACTTGGTTGTTCGAAGATTATAAATGTGCGAGCTCTCCAAGAAGCCGAGTGAGGCCGGGGTCGTCTTCTGTTGCCAAAATAGCATGAAACCACATAACCTCCATGAAGCCGGCTGATTCTGTCGAAGGAGGCAGCTGAAAAATAAAAAGTACCAGTAAGTCTAGTGGACCCCCCCCCCTGGTGGCTCACACACTGACCAGGCAGAAAATTCATCGGAACAACACCTTTAGTAATAGACTTGATTTCGATCAGATAAGTGGGTTCAAGAACAGCTCCTATGGTTAACACTCAGACGACAGACAGATGCTGTGGTGAATGAGTTGACTATTGTTTTGTGGTCCTCAGTACCAAGTACACCAACAGCTATCCATGAACTGTTTGTCCACTTCCGTATCTCATTCGTCTATTCCTTCCACGTCAGTATTCGAAAAAATCGGACCATGAACTTGCACGAAGGAACTGATCGTTTTCAATTAAAAAAACCCCGCAAAGTTGATCCATTCTGTCTTGTTTTTCTTGCGTTTGCAGCCCAACACGAGACCAGACAATACCACATTCTTTACGAATTGGTTGACGAACGCCAGGTGGAAGTGGTTCATCTGTTAGATGGGACTCAGGTCGAAACACATCGCTATCCTCGGGCTGGTAAGTTCAACTTCTTGTGCGTCGTATTGCCTTATCATGCCCGCCCACACCCGCATGGAAGCGGTGCTCTTGTTGTGACTTACCGCCTCGTGAACTTCTCTTGGCGGTGCTAACCGTTCGGTGTCGGGTGAGGGCCAATGCAGTCGCCCTGATTGGGAGTAGTTGGTGAGGCAGGCGAGGCGCAGTGCATCTTTCATGTTCATTCACTGTATACAGCTAAAATCACGGGGATTGAGTTTGGAATGTGATTGATGTCTTGGTCCATTTGTCCATAGAAGTCTCTCCAACGAGTTTGCGTATCATGATTGCGCAAATTTTCGCGTGTCTCCTCGACTACAGTAACGCCAGTACTTGCCTCGGAAGGGACATGATTCTGGATTTTTCTTTACTACTTTTTTCTCAAAGATTGTTTCACTGGCAGAACACACATACTTCACCAAGTTCCTTGGTCAACTACGAGGTGCGTTACGGCGTACTGCTGTCTCCTTTCCGTATACCACTCTATATTCTCGACCGACCCACCAACCTTGATGATCTTCCTATTAAGTGAGTCATCACTGGTTCCCAACTCCAAGGTGAACTCCATTTCTCGCAGCTTCGAGCCAATTAATCTGCCTTAAGCACATGGCCTTTCAATTCCCATTTATCTATTAACGCCACTAAATGTAGACATGTCATCTCACTAACCAAAGGAGAACAACCGATTTCGTTTAATGGTAATTATTCTGTTCTCTATTTTTGACAATTAGGCTGTTCCCCCAGTACGTTCTTAACAATACTTGGGCGTTTCCATCCGTCAAAATCTCCCGTTGATTCACTCATGTGTTTCCTTATTTCCCAATTGCGATGTTCAAACGCTCCACTGTATTTACTCGTCCGTTTTGTTACATCTTGTATTACCCCTCACCTTCTTTACTAGTTAGCAGTTGTAATTGCTGGTCTCAGAGTTAAAGACTATTTAATTCTACATTGATCTGTTAAAATCATCCCACGCACAAGCGGTTTTCCCTGTTTACACTTCGAATTTATCGTCGGCAAAACGTTTGTAACACTATTTTAACAGATATCATCGACCTCTTACAAACAGAACTTAAACATGTAAAACATCCGTTTCCATTTATCAGTTTCATCAACACAAGAACACAGATCTGGGCAGAATTGAGTTGAAATGACTCAGATGACTCATTTTAACTCCTATGTTTCTTTGTTTTTCATGAGCACACACAAGTGTGCGTTCATAGCTGAATGAGAGCGCTCGAAATCAACGATCAGCATCAATTCTATCTGCTTGTGTCTTCTTTTGCTGAAGAACTCAAGTAATTTTTATCCTCTTTCTTGACCATATGTCATTTTAAACTTGTGTATTTTCGGATGTCTACCCACCATTTATCTTTTGTCCCATATCTTTGTGGATTTCGGGCGCAGAAAGCCTTCGTTGGAGACAACTTTTTACAGGCCTTAGTTGATTGATATCCACTGTTATATAATTTCATCGCCTTCTCTTAAATTTAAAACGCTGTGCATTAATTTTTCGAAAAGTGGAAGATTCGGAATGGAGGTAGATTTAAGGAGGTATTGCGCAGAATCAGTGTTGCAAGTAAAATTCAGAATTTTGGCGAAAGCAACCTGATAGCGCGCGCGCGCACGCGTAGTGGTGTGATGTTTTCCCATCAAAGTGATAGGAGGAAAAGCCAACATCCGGGACTATATCCGGGTTGATGAATCACTGGCAGTTCACCCAAGAGATGCGCTAGAAACCCTGAGGCCAAGAGAACCAAGAAGAGGCATGTGAACCATACCTACCCACACACACCTTCCTAGTTATGTCAGTGGTTATCGGTTCGATTGAGTATCGAGGTCTATTGAACGTTTGACCCCGTCCCATATATAATCAGATGAACTGGACACCCGCCCCCAATATATTGCGGTTATCACACACCGCCCCGCTGCCTTTCGGGTCAGACTTTGGCTAGCCAAAGGTTCCAATTGTGGATTCCTCAAGACAATTCACCTACCTTGGCATGGACAACCTGACAGTATTCGGTCCACATGCAAATCACGGAACGTTTTTCTTTTTCATAAAGATTATGGTACCATGATTTGTTTGTCATACAGTCTGGATTCAGACGTGTTTGAATATATATATATATATATATATATATATATATATATATATATCAGCAGGTCATTTCAATGATACCGTGCGTGTCAGGGATTCAGGGATAAAACAATGAGGCCTCACTCACCACTAGGGGATTGAGGATATCCGCAAGCAATCTACTTTCATGTTTTCTTTTTATTGAAGATTGATCTTTGACACTTCTACTGATCGAACACCATAACCTGCTCAAAGTGGGTCAGATCTGTACCAACTCTATCCTGTTCGCAGTTTCCAACCAATTCACCGCGTCAATCAATCTGTAAGATAATTTATTACCACATAACCTGTTTTCCGTATTTTTCGGGCGATACCAACCCCCTTGTGATTAGATTGCGTTCTACAAACGGTTGAGAAATAAACGTCCAGGTCACCATAAAAAGCATCGCGCTGGCTGGCAGGTTGCTCTCCGGCGAAGTTCTATCAACCGAATGACCATTTCGTCCATTTGTTGGTGTAACATTCGCTCACTTGTGGGAAAAATCGATGAAGTCCAGAATCTAGTGCAACAGAAATAATGCAAAAGTGTGGGAGTCATTTTACTTCAGGAAAGCTGCTTGCACCCAGATATTGAGGATGATATGGTCGGATTAGACGGTTTTGATATTTTCAGGACTGATCGGATTGTGAAATTTCGCAACAGAGGTGGCGTAGTGGTCACTTTCGTAAATCGAAGTTGGTGTAAGAACACTTGTATGATTTTTTCCTACTCAACAAGTAAAATTAACTGTACTTTTGTTTGCTGCAAGCCCCACTTTCTTAGCAGATTTCGCTTCATTCACTTTGTGAATATTTACATTGCCCCTGATATTTTCACCCCCGACTTAAGACTATTTTCTGATACTGTAGTGACACAATTTGCCAGTTGTATTGACCAGTCCTTATGTATTACCGCTGGTGACTTTAATCGCTTTGATACTTCCTTTCTAATCACTCTAGGCCTAGAGAACATTGTCAACTTTCCTAC